AGATCTCTTAACTATTGCTTTGCTTGTTGACTATTTTTAATAATTGTTTTTATATCTTTTACATCTTTTTATATCTTTCCTATGTGTTTTAGGGTTTCCATTAAACTGATGTAAAATTTTGTGTTTTTTTAAATGAAAAATAAATATTTATTTCAAAAAATTTCTACTTGAGTGGATAGTTTTACCTAGGAAAGTCCATAAAAATGGGCATATTAGTGATGTTCCTTCCTGTGCTATAATGGAATGTTATCAGGAAACAGGGTGTCAGATATCAGGGAGGGTAGAAAGTAGGGGTTCTCAGAGTGCCAGGGTTCTGGGTTTTCTGGAAGGTCTACGTGGGTCCGGTGGTTGGGTGTGTCACTACCTGAAAGAGCCCTGCCTCAGTGGTACCTTTTATTTGTAGACTTGAGCTGTTAACACTCTTTCAGCATCTTGGAGGTTTTTATGTTTGAGGAGTTTCCAGAGAACCCCCCCTACACCCAGGGTTCTAGTCCCTTCTGCGGCCAATTTGCTCTTTCGTTCCTCCCCCTGACCTGGTGTTAGAGTAGAGCCCAGTGTGCGGCTTGGACCTGCAGCATCAGTGCTACCTGGAAACATGTTAGCAATGCAGATTCTCAGGCGCCACACAGACACTGAATTAGAAACTTGGCGGGGAGGCCCAGCAGTCCGTGTTTACTAAGCCCCCCACCTGGGTCTGTTGCAGCAGCTTTCGAGAAGCCTTGTATCAGACAATGTTTGAGTTCATGCTGACTCAGTCACAGACGCCCGTGTCTGCTCACTGCCTGGCCTTTGAGCCCCCATCTGGATCCCCTGGGAATCCCTCCCCTGGAGTTTCTAATCCCTCCTGCTCGAAGTCTGTCTTCCACAGCCTCTGCACTTCCTGGTTTTTGCTTCTCGTGAGTTCTGGGGTATGTACATCCGTGTCTGTGAGGCTGTGGGAGAAGTGGCCCGGGCCGGAGTAGGCATCTACTGCTGCGGTAGGTAGTAACGTGTTCAGAAGGGGGTGAGGAGCTGTGTTTGTGTCTGACTAATACTCTCTAACTGCTTTGTCTTTCCTTCATCTCCTGTTGACTTCACAGCTTGACTGCAGCTTGTGTAAACATCTCTACTGAGTGGCGTACAAATACAAGTATTTTTGTGAACACGTACAGTCTACATATGTGGGTCCGGTCCCCTTACATTATCATTTACTTATCCATCACTACGACTCTCCGTGATTCATCTACCTTATCTTCTGTCTCTGTGATTATTTGCTGTCTCCATGATTTCTCTACCTCATTTTCTGTCACTGTATCCATCTCTACTTGAAAGTATATGAAATAGTTTATTATAAAGGTATATAAGTATTATGTTTACTTTGTGTTTTTTCTCTCACTGTGGGCCTCCTGCCTGCTGGAGTTTCAGTGTGGGACCAGTAGGTCCCTTTGGGAGGCCCTAACTTCTGACCTCTCCTGCGGGACTGCCTTCTCTGGCTAACTCTTTAGGAACAGAAGGTGTTGCCTGCCACCCTGTGGCTGCAGGTGACATAGCAGAGGTGTGTGCAGCCATCTCTTACCCTTGAACCCGAGTTTCCACATGAGTAGATTTAAGGGTTATGTGTCTTTCTTTTTCTTTCTTTTTTCCCCCTTCCTCCCTTCCTCCCTCCTTCTTTCTGTATTACCTTTGTTTCTTTTTTAAAGATTTATTTATTTGACAGAGAGACAGTGAGAGAGGGAGCACAAGTAGGGGGAGTGGGAGAGGGAGAAGCAAGCTTCCAGCTGAGCAGAGAGCCCCAGAATCTTGGGATCATGACCCAAGCGATGTACTACCCAGGGGCCGTCTGTGCTTTGTTCCTTCCTTTTTGTTGATTCCTACGAAGATAGACCAACTTTTTAATGTCGGTTTAGGTGTTTGTGAGTTTTTTGGGCAATTTGTATAAAAGAAAAACTATATTCTCCTCCTAAATGAATTAACAACCTGGTTGTTTATAGCTGAACTATTTCAACAATAACGTGGAGTAAGATATTTAAGCCCACAGACAGCTTTTCCCAAAGTTGCTGGAGCCCAAGTGCTTAAAAAAGTTCATGAAATCAAATGATCCGTATACTGTGTCATACCTGCCACTGAGAAGCCAAAAAGATGATCCCGTCGAATCCCAGCAAGTGACATTTTTAGAAACACTTTTATAGACACGCATAGGCAAATGACTATTACCTGACCGTTATTTATTTTCCGCAAAAAAAAGAAGGAATATGAAACTTACATTGTGTGAGGTATTTTTTTTAAACTTTGTGTCCGGGCCGTTGTTTATAACTAAAATAAAATGAACACTGAATTAAAAAAAAAAAAAAAGCCCAAGCTGAAGGCAGACACTTAATGACTGAGCCACCCAGGCATCGCCCCCTTCCTCTCTCTCTCTCTCCCTCCCTCCTTCTGTGTGTGTGTGTGTGTGTGTGTGCGCGCGCGTGCGTGCGTGTGACAGGATTGTGCTCATTTCCCCCATCTCCCTCTTGAGGGACTATTTGCTGTGTTTATTTACTCCCCATTTGTCTGCTCCCCATTTGCCCATCACCTGCTGATTATATCCATGCTCTCTTCCCTTCTTCTGTGTGCAGAATGGGAAAGGCTCTCCACTTGACTCCACTTTTTATTCAATGTCAACCCCTGAATATACCTTTCAGGGGTATCTGTCATATTCCAGTCTAGCCACGATCCTTGTGTGCACACCTCCCCAAAGACCGTCTCTCTCTAATGATTCTGTGCACAAACTGCCCTCCTCCTTGCCTCCTGCATCCCCATAAGTGCTCCACCCCCACCCTCATCTGATTATTTCTTCCCTCTCTCATATCCTACTTTTATGTTAGCTTTCTGACCTGAAAGGTGATTACTAGCTCCTTTGTTTTCAGCCTTAATTTCTAGGTCATAGATCACTTTCAGGCTAAATTCTCACAGAATTCAGAGAAATATTTTACTTACCAGATTACCAGTTTATTATATACAGATAATATAGGAACAACCACATGGGAGAGATGCATAGGGCAAGGAACAGGGAAGGGTCACAGAGCTTTCATACTGAGTGCACCACTCTCCCCAAATCTCCATCAATCTGGAAGCTCTCCAAACTCCCATTGTTTGGGGTTTTTATGGATGCTTCATTACACAGGCATGATTAAGTCATTGGCCACTAGTGACTGATTCAACCTCCAGTCCCTTTTCCTTCTCTGAAGGAAAGAAAGGGGAGTAAGTTTGTAGAGTCACATCATCACCTGACCTGCTGTTATATTATATTTGCCTTTTTAAGGTAACCTATCAGCCTGGGTCTCTCTTCACTGTGTACACACATGTCTACATGCAGGGATCTGGATTATCTCAGGATCCCACCTCCAACCACCTCCCACTCCCTGCACCCCAATTCCTTCTCTAACACTCTCAGTTCTTCCATTTCATGTTTCCTCTTCACAGCCCCGTGCCTGATTTTGGTTCTTACTGAGTTCTGTCAACAAGCATTCCACATTCATGGATATAAAACCCTCTGTGAGCTGTGCCACCAGGATTGGAATAGGACACAAGGCTGATCCTTCCTGAACATCATCCTATTGGGGTAGGCTGATACTAACATGCAAACTTTTTTTTTTTTTTAACTTTTCCAAGTAAAGGGATATTGGAAGAGATTCTGGAGTGGGATGTGAAGATTCAAGAGTAGTCTTTGAATATTTGCATCATCATGATAGGTCTGGGAGGTGCTTTGTGGGTGGGGTTTGGGAGGTTCAGATATCAGGGGATTGTGGATATTAAGGAAGTCAGGAAAGAAAGGATAACTCACAATGCAACAATTCTGGATAAGCTTCCAAAGGCCTCTTTCTGGCTACTTAATGCCAGATGCCAGGCCCTCACTTCCTATCAAGACTACAGGCCAGTAAGTGCCAATGAGGTTCATACAATGTCAGATCTATTCATGCCTTTCCCTACAGCTGGGACTTTGAGGGCAAAATATAAGGGAGCACCAGAAAAACTCAGTAATCAAGATAAGTTTTTTGAGGTAGTATCTTTGAAAATAAAAATCAATGCAAAAAAAATTCATGGTGAACAAAACTGTCAAGTTCTGCTTCCACTTCATACCCCATGCCCCCACCTCCCAACCACAACCCTGGTAAGTTTCTTCTAAGTGGCACCTGTCACGTAGCTTCCAATAAAACAACAACAACAACAACCCAGGGATTTCTGGATCAAGTCACAGTTTCTCATCGCACTACTACTTCTACCACTAGGGAGCCGTTTGCTCTTGGCTTCAGTCCTCCTTCCCCACCCACAAATATCTCCGAGATACAGGACCAGAGCCATCCACCGCTATGCAGGGAGTTAGCCCAAGCCAATCCCGCTCCTAGAAAATAGCCTCGGCATTCCCTGTGCGGACTGGCGCACCAAGGCCGGTGTCGCTCCTATCCCGGAGTCCCAGCAGAGCATCACTCCACGGCTTCGTCCCCCAAGAGCTTTGCCCTGAGCCGCGCCCACTCGCGCCAATCTGGACTCTGGTTTCTGCTCCTGGAAGGGCGCACAGGGTTACCCTAGCTCACCCGCGCTGCTGAAGGTCAGCGCACAGTCTGTCCACCCGCCTCCGTAACACCGGTGGGGCGCCAGGACCACATTTTCTAGAATCCTCGGGCATTTCTGCGACTCTCGTGGTCCGCGAGATCCCATTGGCCCTCGGAGGAAAAACATGCACACCTTGCGGTCTGGGCATCTTAACAGTGACTCCTAAACTTCGTTGTATGAGTCGTGCAGACGTCAGAGTCACCCTGCCACCACAACCTCTCCATCTCAAAGACTACACTTTCCAGAGGCCCGCGCGGCCACTTCCGCTGTCCGTCGCGCTCTCCTTGCTGTGGCGTTGACGTGGCAGGAGCGCTTCCCGTCGGTGGGTCCCGCCCACTCTGTAGTTGGCCGCTGGGGAATCCTCGGTCTTCGGGTAGTTCTCACAGTTCCGCGCTTAGTTCCCGAGCGTCAGCCTCAAGACTGGCAACGTGCGCCCGGCGTTCTGTGAGTGCCCTATAGTCATTGCCTTGTCAGTCAGCACGTCCTTCTGCTTGTCCCTGTTTTACTCGTGAGGACACAGGTTGCCTCTGAACTCGGGCGCTCTTCCGTAGGTACCTCCAGACCATTATCTTTTCATTCCAACCCATAGAGTTAGAGACAGACCCTTATTCCTTTGCAGGGGGACATGGGCTTCATTCCCTGGCCAGAGCTTGGGGCTGAACTTGAGGGTGCTCTGTCACTCAGAACCCCTTTCCCAGGGCTCTGGATGGGAATTGGATTGTGCTGGTGATTTCTGTGACACTGAACCCCTAGGAGTGGGACTCTGGCACATACCCGCCTTGACTCCTGGGAAGGGGCTTTTCCATCTAGGAACGCTCTCGTTTCTCTTCGTATCCCCAGATCTATCTTCTGAGACTTTGCCCTTCTCCAGGAAGAGCATTCAGGAGACCAGGAAAATGGCCACGGGGCTCCTGAAAGCCAAAAAAGAGGTGAGAATTTTCATCAAATTCCATGTTGGCTGCCAACAGGATGAATCTGTTCCTATTTCTTGCACTGCAGGCTGTCCTGTTGATATTGGGCAAAGTTCACACCTGTTCCTGGAGGAGGGGTGGCTCATCTTACATGGGAGTCCCCCCATCAGCGTTCCTTTCCGCTCCATCCATATCTCAGTCATCTGCGAAGTGGTCAGTTGTAAACAACACACGGAACAGTTTAAATAAAAATACAGGAACATCCAAGCTTGACTGTCCAGTGGTAGTGATGCAAGACAGGGCCAGCAGAGATGCTTATGACCTGAAGTGGTTAGGGAGGGCTTCTGGAAGAAGTAGGGCTGTCTGAACGGCCCCTGAGGGTTTGGTAAGTTGGAGAGTTGGCAGAGCAGAGAGGAGAGAAGGAAGTATGGTTAGCCTGAGGGTGGGCACACTGCCCTTGCTACAGTGTGGGAAGATTGTAGTAACTAATGGCGTTATTTAAGGTTGATTTTTAACTATGTGCTGGTGAAGATACAGACACGTGGAACAGAGGAGAGCTTGATGGTCTGACCTGAATTTTTTATTGAGAGCGTTTTCTGCATCTGGCAATGGGAGATTTCACCAAAAATTCTGGATTGCCTGCCTCTCTGAAAATAAATTGCACTGTGGTGTCAGGGAATTCACACTGAACAATGTCTTCATTTGGACAGGTCCTGCAAAGTTTACTTGCTGCACTTTCCACAGTATCTTCCAAACTGAGGTTGAAACCACTGACCAGCTAACATTTGGCCTGCCTCCCTCATTTATATTACGTACCTTGCCCCTGAAGGATTTTCATTTTCCACCTCTTAGTCTGGGTGACTAGGTTGAGTACCAGACTGAGGAATATAGATTTTGTCTTTGAATAAGCTAGGTTTTGAAGGATTTGGGGAAAGAATTTGACATAAGAAAATCAATGACATGGATATATAGAGGAATATTTCTTAATTAAGGGGAAACTTTCTAACCCCTGTGAATGGTGGCTATGATGACCTGGACTTAACTGAATGTGATTAACATTTATTGAGCACCAGCAAAGTTGCCAGGCTGGCTTACTATCTAGTTTTGATATGCATTAACTTGGCTATTTCAGATCTTCCTTGACTATCCTTATGAAAAAAAGAAAGTTTAAACAGAAAAATGAGACCTCAATTTATTCTTTATTTTTTCTGTGACCTTGATTTATTCTTAATCCTGGTCCTTTGTGGTAGAGATTTACAATCGCCTGGATGTTATCAGAACAACTTGGAGAGTTCTGTGTTTCTCATTTGGGTAGACTACCTAAGTACTCTGATATGCATGACATCTGAATTATACATGACATCTGAATTATACAAAGCAATTTAAACAGATAGACAGTAGGGTATTAGGTCACTGGCAAGGACCTTTGCCTGAGAGAATAAATTGGAATTTGTTACAAAAGAGATGGGCTGGCAGGCACATGATATTACTAATCCTTAGCATTTTTTCACTGATTCCATTGAACAAATTTGCTGTCTACTGTGTGCAGAATACTTGATGGATGACAGTCAGTAATGTGTAAAGGTACAGCCTGCACACTTGTGGGCCTTTCATTTTATTTTTGGATTCTGTTACCATTGGGGTTTTGTTTCATTTTACACACACACACACACACGCACACACACACATTTTGACAGACCTTAATGATCAAATCAGTATATTAAAGCTAGTGCCAGGGGCACCTGGGTGGCTCAGTCTGTTAAATGTCTGCTTTCAGCTCAGGTCATGATCCTGGGGTGCTGGGATCGAGTCCCAAGTTAGGCTCCCTCCTCAGTGGGGAGCCTGCTTCTCCCTCTCCCCTCTGCTCATGTTCTCTCTCACAATCTCTGTCGCTATCTCTATCTCTCTCAAATAAATAAATAAATAAAATATTTTTTAAAATAAAAAAAATAAAACTGGTATCAGCTCTCTACCCAGACCCATATTTTATAGGTGGAGGAACAGCCAGGACTTAACCCACTGGAAGTGATTTCTATAATATGGTGCATTGAATGGATGAACCCATCCATTATTTTCCAATTTGGGGGATCATTTTTATTATTATTTTTAAATTGCATTATAGTTAACCTACAGTGTTAATTAATTTAATTAATTAAGTTAGTTAATTTAGTTAATTAATTTCAGGTGTATAATATAGAGATTCAGCACTTCCATACGTCACCAAGTGCTCATCACAAATGCCCTCAATTTCTATCACCTATTTCACTCCTCCCACAGCTTCCCCTCTACCTCCCCTCACTCCTCCCACTACCTCCCCTCTAGTATCCATTGGTTTGTTCTCAACAGTTAAGATTCTTTTTCTTGGTTTCTCTCTCTCTCTTTTTTCCTTTGCTTGTTTATTTTGTTTCTTAAATTCCACATATGAGTGAAATCGTATGGTATTTGTCTCTCTCTTTTGCTTAGCATTATACCCTCTAGATCCATCCATGTTGCAAATGGCAACTTTTCATTCTTTTTTATGGCTCAGTGATATTTCATTATATATATATAGGTCACATCTTTATCCATTCATCTGTTGATGGACACTTGGGCTGCTTCCATAATTTGGCTATTGTAAATAATGTTACTATAAACACAGGGGTGTATGTATCTCTTTGAATTTTTTGTACTTGTGGCTAAATACCCAGTAGTGTGATTACTGGATCATAGGGTAATTCTATTTTTTTTTTTTAACTTTTTCTTTCTTTCTTTTTTTTTTAATATGAGAGAAAGAGAACACGAGTAGGGGGAGAGGCAGTGGGAGAAGCAGGCTCCCCACTGAGTGGGGAGACAAATGTGGGGTTTGATCCCAGGACTCCAGGATCATGACCTGAGCTGAAGGCAGACCCTTAGCTGACTGAGCCACCCAGGTGCCCCTATTTTTAACTTTTCGAGGAACCTTCATACTATCTTCCATGGTGGTTGCACCAGCTTGCATTCCCACCAGTGGTATAAGAGGGTCCCTTCCAATTTGGGGGGGGGGCATTTAACTTATTCCCAATATTTTAATTATTGTAAATTTTGCTTCTATGATCAATTTTGAATGTGAAATTCTTTTATAGATTTGTATTTATTCTCACAGCAAAAATATGATAAGGCGAGTTGAAATGACCATTGCAAAGCAGTGGGGACTCACCCAGTTGGAGCTTTGGAACTCTGCCTGTTCTAAAACATTTGATCCTTTTGATTATTCTATTTTTGAGGCCCCCTTCTTCCATCATGATGTCTACTTTATGTTTTGCAGGGTTTTCGTTTCGTTTTTATTGCTGTACTTTGCAGTTGTGCATCCCCAGGGTAGACCTGCCAGCACAGATCTTTTTCTTTTCTCACGTGAATGTTTATAAGAGTGTCCTGGTTGGTTTCTATGTGTTGATACGGTCCTTTGCTCCCACTGCATGTTTCTTGTCTTTCTCATTTTCCCCAGACATTACAGGGACATTACTTTTCTGTTCAGAAGCCCTCCTTCAGTGGCTCACAACAGTGTCTTAGGTATTCAGAACACTCCTCATTTCACATTTATTTATTTGAGAGAGAGAGAAAGAGAGCATGGGGAGGGGAAAAGGGAGAGAATCTTCAAGCAGACTCCCCACTGAGTGTGGAACTGGACTAGGGGCTCAATCTCATGACCCTGAGATCATGGCCTGAGCTGAAATCAAGAGTTGGATGCTTAACCAACTGTGCCACCCAGGCGCCCCAGGACACTCCTCGTTTCAAATGTGTTGTGCTGTTTCTGACATCATGTTCTGGTTATTAATTCTGAAAATGTGCTTATTACACCTTTAAGTTAGATTAAGTCATTTTTTAGGAGATTGGCTGGAGAAAGGAAGACAAATAACTGTTCGAGTTGTTCAGAGGAATCTATCCTCTTTTCCATGTAATGATTTCAGGCCCAGGAGTAAGAGAAAGATGGAAGGACTGAATCTAATACTTGCCAAATCTAAGGAGTTTCTTTCTTTCTTTCTTTCTTTCTTTCTTTCTTTCTTTCTTTCTTTCTTTCTTTCTTTTTTTAAGATTTTTATTTATTTGTCAGAGAGAGAGTATGTGAGCACAAGCAGGGGGAACAGAAGGCAGAGCAGACAGGGGAAGAAGGAGGCTCCCTACTGAGCAGAGATCTCGATTCGGGACTCAGTCCTAGGACCCTGGGATCGTGACCTGAGCTGAAGGCAGAGGCTTAACCAACTGAGCCACCCAGGCACCCCTAAATCTAAGAAGTTTCTGACAGCACGAGCATCACAGCAAGTCAAGGATGATATTGGTTATAAAGTATTTTTCATCTACCATGACATTTCTTTACCAGTGTATCAGTTAGCCCTTGCTGCGTAACAAACCACCCCAAAGCTTACTGACTTAAAATAATTCATTAGCACACAATTTGATGGGTCAGCATTTTGAGCTGGGCACAGAAGAGTGTTTGGCAGGCTTCACCGGGGCTTAGCTCGTGTCACTGCAGTCCACTGGTGGTTTGGCTGGGGTGGGATGACTGTCCGTACATGACAGTAACAAGCTAGTTGCTTAAGGTGCTTTGGTCCTTGTTTTTTTCCATGTCTGTATTCTCCCTGAATTATGCTTACAAACTGCTCAGTTGCTTTTTTTTTTTTTTTAAGATTTTATTTATCAATTTGACAGACAGAGATCACAAGTAGGCAGAGAGGCAGGCAGAGAGAGAGGGGGAAGCAGGCTCCCTGCTGAGCAGAGAGCCCAATGCAGGGCTCAATCCCAGGACCTTGGGATCATGACCTGAACTGAAGGCAGAGGCTTTAACCCACTGAGCCACCCGGGCTCAGTTGCTTCTTTAACTCTCCTCTTTCTATAAGTTCTCATATGTAGTTAGAGGCATCCAGCTGAAGCCTTTAATGGGGTTCCCGGAGATCTCATTAGCGGGATCTGGAAATCATTAGGTATTTTCTTCTGTTTTCCAAGTGAGCACAGGTGACAGTGTTGCTAGTACCTAAAAGGCATGGCCTTTCTCAGGCTGCCCT